ACCTATGGTCCCCTTATCACTGCAAGGAGTGTTCCCTGAGTGCAGAGCCAGGAGTAAGCCCCTAAGCACTGCTGGCTGTAGCCTCAAAACAAATGAGAGTCCAGTTACTTTTTGGTCAAAGGAGGAGTGTGTGTGTGTGTGTGTGTGTGTGTGTGTGTGTGTGTGTGTGTGTACATGTCTGTCTGTGCATGTGTGCATGTGCAGTAAAATGGAATGTCCCTCTGGTGGGAAGTCAAAGAGAGGCCAGAGCAAGACTCAGTCCCAGGTCTCTGAAGGGCAGACACACCAGCCTCCCTGCCTCCCTCCTCTTGGTGACTCTGGGTCCTTGAAGCTCTGTCCTCCCAGCAGCTGCTGGCCGCCAGGAGAACAGACGGAAAAACTTCTGGAGCCCAGGGAAAGTCCTGCCACTTTATTCTCTCTGGTTGGAAAGGAAAAGCCCAGCTATTTCTTGAACCCAGAGAAAAGGAGAGGCCAAAGAGGAAGTGCAGGGGAGGCGGGGGCAGCGGGGCGTCCGGGGCCTCCTCCCTCCAGCCCCCACCATACCTCACACAGACTGCAAAACAACCCAGCTTCTTGCCAAGGGAACTCAGGCCGGCTGGATTCCAGCTCTGGGCCCAGCTCCCCCCTCCTGCTCGCTGGAGGGAGTCTTGACCCTGCCTTTTCCCTACAGGATCAGGAGGCCAGGAGAAGCAAGCCTGTCCCTGCTCAGAGCATGGCCTGGGAGACAGTCCAGGGCCACCACAGAGAGTGTGTCTGGGGTTCCTGGCCTGGCAGGTGCCCACGCGCTGCTAGAGAGGGCAGAGCGGCACCGTGGAGGCTCACCTCCCAGCTTTCCTTCCAGAGCCCCCCGGGGGTGGAGGCCGGGGAGGAGGCTGAGCTTTCCTGAAAAGCCTCTGGCCCCTGGTACCAGCCCCGCCCAGCCCTCCCACACTCGGCAGCAGCTCCCAGCCTGGCCAAAGGGTGGGGCAGGCTGGGGCAGGCCGAGCACCCACTGCCCACTGCCCACTCCTCCACCCTCCTTGGTGCAGGGAAATAAAATCAAATCCCAGGCTCTAGGGAGTTTATCCTCCCTCCCTCCCCCCTCCCTAACTCCCTCCCCTGTCGTCCCCCCCCCCCACTTCTGTCTCCTCTCTCCTTTTAAAAACACCTTGACCCCTCCCTTTCTCTCTCCTAGGAGTCCCTCTTCTGCTGGGGCTCAGGGTCAGTGGTCAAGCCATCTCTCCGGGCGGCAGCACTCGCCCGCTGACTTTCCTTGGGGCCCATATGTCTCCTTTTCTCAATCTCTTGGTGCTGATCACAAGTCCAGGCATTCCTTAAGGCTGTCCAGGGAGCTGCCTGTGAACAAAAGGAGAAGGGTTTCCGGTTTTAAAAACCAAACCAAAGCAGCCTTTCCTAAAAGCCCCGGGATACAGCAGGAAAACAAGGAAGCAAAGCTGGCGGTGGCTCTGGCTCCCTGGCAGCTTTGAGGAGAGGTGCCAGCAGATACCCAGTTTGAAGATAAACAGCTTTTATTTGGGGGGGGGGAGTAGGGTTGGGGCCACAGCTGGCAGTATTGGAGGCCCCCGCAGGCAGTGCTTGGTGGGCCCGGCGGTACTAGGGATTGAGCCTGGAGCTCCTGCATGCACCCCAGTCTTTCGAGCTATCTTATTCAGTCTTAGGTAAGCGATTTTTAAGAAAGGCTGAAAAAGGGACTGGAGGGCCAAAGCAATCAATCGTACAGTGGGTAGGGCATTTGCCTTGCATGTGACCATCCCGGGTTTGATCCCTGGCATCCCATATCCGAGCACTGTCAGGAATGCAGAGCCAGGAATAACCCCTGAACATTGCTGGGTGTGACCCAAAAAGCCAAAACCTAAACAAAACAAAAACAAAGGGACTGGAGAGGTGCTTGCCTTGTACACACTGACCCTGGTTCCAAGCCTGGCAGCTCTTATGGTTTCCCAAACACTTCAGGAGCAATCCCTGAGCATGGAGCCAGGAATAAGTATTGGCCCCATCCCATAAAAAAAAAAAAAAATTAAAAGACTCTCCGCACACCTGAAGGTACTGGCAGAGGGACAAAGCCACGCGGGTTCCGGGGCCGAGACCTCCAAGCCTACTCGAATTGGAGTCGAGCATCTTCCACCCAGATCCTCCAAATTCCAGTAGGCGGGGGTCACACCCACCACCTGGCCCCCTGGCGCCGTGTAATCCCATCAGCGGCCAAGACTCAGAGACTATAAAATCCAGATCCCGGACGAGAGCAGTGCAGTCTCTGCCCCCGCGCTTCGGTGTTCCTTCCCGGAGTCCCTTGGAGGGGAGCGGGTTGAGCTTTCCTCCCCACCCCGGCCAGGGCTACGGCAGCCGGAGACCTCCAGGACCAGCCACCACCATGCTGAGACCACTCTCCGCACACCTGAAGGTACTGGCAGAGGGACAAAGCCACGCGGGTTCCGGGGCCGAGACCTCCAAGCCTACTCGAATTGGAGTCGAGCATCTTCCACCCAGATCCTCCAAATTCCAGTAGGCGGGGGTCACACCCACCACCTGGCCCCCTGGCGCCGTGTAATCCCATCAACGGCCAAGACTCAGAGACTATAAAATCCAGATCCCGGAACCGCGCGGCCGCGAATGCGACATCTTATTATCTCATTCCTACTTTGGACAAACTTGCAGGCTGTCGAATGTAGCCTGCCCACAGGGCAGAGTCTGGCAAACTCCCCGTGGCCTACCAAATATGCCAAATACCAGTAACAATGATGGGTCTCATTCTCCTAAAGAGCCCTGAATATAATCTCAGGGCTAGGATGAAAGAGACGTTACTGGGGCCTGCTCGAGGCAATCGACGATTAACAGGATGATGAAAAAAATGAAGGGCTGGGACTGGGAAGGTAGCTCAACAGACTGAGCACAGACTTGGCAAACAGGAGACCTGGGTTTAATCCCGGTACCATGAAGTACTCCAGCACTGTTGGGTATCACCCAAGAACAAACAAAAGGCCCAAGGGGGCCAGAGAGATGCCTCAAAAGACTGAGTACGTGCTTTGCATGAAAGAGGTTCAGGTTCAGTTTCTGTCACCATATGGCCCATCAACCTCTGCTGGAAGCCGGTCATATTCCCTGAGGACTGCTGGGTGCAGGGAAAGAAAGAAAGAAACAAAAGAAGAGAAAAGGGAAGGGAAGAGAAAGGTTAAATAAAAGTCAGGGAGCTGCTCAAAGGATCAGGCAGCATGCTCTGAGTGTAGAAGCTCCAGGTTCCACGAGGCATCAGAACTCACCCAGCACGGTGTGTGACCCCCAAAATAAACATAAAAAGATAGTGTTTGAGCTGGAAAGACTGTACGGGGGTTAAGGTGCCTATCTTGCAGTTGGCTGACCCCAGTTCAATTCCCGGCATCCCACATAGTCCCCTGAGCACTGTCAGAGTGACCTCTGAGCACCATCAGGTAAAGCCCCCAAATCAAACCAAAACTAAATGACAAACAACTTTAAAAAGAGGTTCAGGGGGCTGGAGCAACAGTACAGCGGGTAGGACGTTTGCCTTGCACACGGCCAACCCAGGTTCGATTCCCACCATCCCATATAGTCCCCCGAGAACTGCCAAGAGTAATTCCTGAGTGCATGAGCCAGAAGTAATCCCTGTGCAACGCCGGGTATGACCCAAAAAGCAGAAAAAAAAAAAAAAAAGACGTTCAGGGGCTGGAGAGATGGAGAGATAGTACAGCAGGTAAGTGCTAGCCTTGTACACAGCCGTACACAGCCAACTCGGGTTCAATCCCGCAGCACCCCGTACAGTCCCTGGAGCACTGCCATGAGTGATTCCTGAGTGCAGAGCCAGGAGTAACTCCTGAGCATCACCAAGTAGGCCTCCTCATCCCTTCCAAAAAAATGTTTCAAACTAAATAGATATGAAAAACATCTCTCAAAGTTCAACCAGGAGGGGCTGGAGCTATAGTACAGCGGGTAGGGCAGCTACATTGCATACAGCGGACCTGGGTTTGTTCCGGGCAACCCATATGGTCACTGACAAGTAATTCCTGAGTGCAAAGCCAGGAGTACATCCTGAGCAACATCAGATGTGGACCCCAAACAACAACAACAACAACAACAACAACAACAACAAAGCTCAAACAGGAAACATGTTCATTCAAGACCTTATTCTCATTAAAAGACTGCTCTGGGCTCTGTGCTGCCTCACTCATCAGCCCAACTCTGGATATGTAGGAGGGGAAGGTGAAACTCATAGTCTATGACCAGGAGCCGGGTATCTCTTCTAAGCCTCATTGTCCTCACCAGAGGGTAATCTGTTTCCTTCTGTGGAATCCACACAGTACCCTAAAGCACAGGGGCTCACCTCTGGTCCCATTACCTAGGACTTCAAAACACTTTCACCATAGAGCTCTCCTCCCCTTGCCCTTTTTTATTTCCCAGATAAGGGGCCGTGACTCACCCGAAAGTCAGGTGAGAGAGGGTGGGGTGGTGACATATAAGCAAACAAGGAGTCCCTGGCTGGAGAGAGAGCACAGCGGGTAGGTTTGCCTTGAACGCAGTTGACCCGGGGTTCAGTTCCCAGCATCTCATATGGTTCCCCAAGCACCGCCAGCAGTAACTCCTGCGTGCAGAGCCAGGAGTAACCCTGTGCATTGCTGGGTGTGACCCAAAAAGCAAAATAAATAAATACAGCTCCCATTAAAAAACAAAACATAACAGGGAGTCCCTAGAGACATCCTCACCCTGGAAGGACCCTTCCCCTTGTGCCCACCCAGGGCGATTCCTTTTCCAAGGGCTACTCTCCCTAAAGGGAATGAGAGAAAAGCCGTCACACGTTTCCCTTGGGGCACAAGAGAGTTCAGCTTCAGAAGACATTCAGGACTATCTGGGCACCAGGATTTCTTTCCCACTTGGAGTCTCTTTCCCCGCAAGTCAGCGGTAACCCGGAGGCGAGAGCAGGGTGCAATCACGTGAAGCGCTCGCCTCGGCAAGGTTTGCAGAAGCCAGCTTGCCGGTCCCTCCTCGTGCATTCACATGCCTCTGCCTTGCAAGCTTTCCAAACACGCCACCCAGGCCCTGCAACACTCTCCCCCCACCTTAGCTCCTCCCCAAGCCGGCAGGAGCTTCGCGAGGCAGAAAGGGGGAACAGACGCCGCCCGCCGGCTTTGCCAGCGACTACAAATCCCGACAGCCTCGGCGCGACGCAGGCGCACGGAGCTCAACGTGCCTGCTGCTGGAAAAGTGTGTCACTGGGGCACGAGGCGCTCCCCGGGATCACATGGTACCTGCTCCAGTGCCGCGTGCGGCCCGGGAACCCTGGGTTGCTGGCGCCTGCGCAGAGCCTTCTGTCCCAGGGAAAAAGGCTGGGGCAAAAGGCGGCTGAGATTGGCAGAGTGAAATATTGCTGCCGAGGGAACGTAGCAGGGCACACGTCTCGCTGCTTTGCGCCTGGGCGCCCCGTTTCTCCCCATCACCTACTTACTTCCTGACTGCAGCCTCTCTCCCACTGGGACTTTTGCACCGGGAGATCCAGATTCTCTGCCCTGCAGTGCTGCGGAGCCGACTGGCAGTGGCACCCCGGGCACTGCAGAGACGCGACCCTCCTCGATGCCTTCTAGCCCGAACTACTGCAGCTGATCCCCCGTTCCCCTTCCCCCACACTCTCTCTGCTCTTCCCGTGCAAAGCAGACCTCCGCGGCCTCGGCGTCCCACCCTTCTGCAGGCTTGCAGCCCGGCTACCCCAAGACCTTGGTGCAAGGTGCCTCGGATCCGGGTCGTAAACCGCGGGGTGCTCCCCGCCCTCAGCCAGTGTCCCGGGGAAGACAGCCGCAATTGCAACCTCCAATCTGTGTCAAGGTCCAGTTTGAATGACCACTCTCAGCCGGTGAGGACATGACGACCCTGGATTCCAACAACAACACAGGTACGGAGGTTCCTTTGCGGTCACCTGTCACTGTTTCCTTGCCTCCGTCTCTGCACCTTAAAACGGGAGGAACTTCGTAAGGGACTAGGGACTCCTTCAGCTCCGGAGATTTGCTAGCGGGCTCAGGGGTCAGGGGCTGGGTCATTCACTTGGAAATACACTCCGAGGAGTGTCCCCCTTCCCCCCAGAGTTCCGAAGGTCTCTTGAACCTGAAGGACGGACTTAGATCTGGGGGCAGGGGAAATGAGAGCGGGTGCAGGTGGTGGAGGAACAGTTGAGAGGGGACTGGAAGCTTTGGAGCAGTACCTTGAAACGCCCCCGTCTGTCCACCCCTGCAGCGATGTCATGCATGGACATCGCGGAAGGAGGACTCCCTCCTGCCCCTCCTCCTCTTCCCTCAAGCTCCAGGAAAGCTTGGAAGCGGTGGGGGACCCGGACTCCGGGCAGGAGGGGTTGGAGGACCGGGTGGGATCTCCCTGGGGAATCCTCCGTGATCATGGAGAGAGGTACCGGAGGAGCCCAGGGAGTGGTGCCCAGCCCCACGGAAGAGACCCACAGCGCCGGGGCAGCCCGGCTCGGCTCACATGGACACGGAACCGGGTCCACGTGCTGCGTTTGTTTTCATTCAGCAGAAGCCGTGGCCGCCACCCCATTGGTTGTTGCCTCCCGGCCCCGTTACATAATGAGCTCCGCCCCCGGTCGCCCCGGCAACGCGTGTCCCCGTCTCTCCTCCCCTCGGTGGTCCCGGCCCCACCAGCGATCAGGGTCCGGCCAACGCGGCCGGCGCCCGGGAGGGGCGGGGCGGGGGCGGGGCTGCTGCTCCCGGTTGATTGACGGGCGGCCGGGGGCGGGGCCTCGAGAGCGGGGCTCCTCGTTGGGGAGCCACGTGCGCGTGGCACACGTGGAGCGGGGACGTGAGGCCGGCTGAGGGCCCGGCTCCCGCCCCGCCCCGCCGAGATCTGGGTGAAGCTGGGCTGACTCACCGCCCCCGCCTGCCTCCTTTTCCTGTGGGCCTGCCGGGTGCCCCTCCTCCCCCATCGGGGGCGCCCAGTAGGATGGGGCCTGCTCTGACCTCTTGTGGCCCCCTGTTTACACCCCTGGGGACATCACCGGCAGCCAGCCGCCCTTCTCACTCCCTTTGTTCTTGGTGCCTGAAGGCCCAGCTTCTTGCCCGCCCCAGGCATTCCTGCCAGCATTACCTAGCCCCCATCTTCACGGGCTAGCCCCTGGGGGATCTCCCCCAAAGGGCTGTGTCGGTGCAGTGCGGAGTTATCCCTGAAAGGGCCCTGAAAGGGTATTAAGTCTCCTTCATTTTATTTTTTTTCTACAGAAAGGAAAATAGAGCCCAGGAGGGAGTTGGATCTCTATGAGGTTTTAAAGTGCAGTCGCTGGCCAGAGATTAGATCTAGAACTAGAGGCTGGTGTTGAAGGGGCCCCTCATTTCCAGCTTAGAGGCCTCTTAGCAGTGAAAGTCTTTTCTCCCCTTCTGGGCCCGGGTGAACTAGGTCAAGTTCACTTACCAGCCCATCCGTCTCCCATCCCCCACCCCAGCCTTGAAGTCGTAGGAGCGGGTCTGTTGTGCAATGATTTCCAGGGAGCTCGGTTCACCCTGACCAACCTTGGGCTATTTTGAGGCTGCCCTGCTCAGCTTAGTATGTGTCAGTGGGTGAGCGAGACATGTGCCTCTGTGGACACGGCCGCCTGGCCCCTATTGGCTTCCGCATGTCCAGGGACCATCCCTTCTCCTGTCCAGTTTATGGCAAGCCAGTTGGCAAAGGTGTGGCAGACAGGTCACCTTTTCCTCCTGCTCATGCCATAGGAATGCAGCCACCTGGTTGACTACAGTGTGCCCAGAAGGTCAAAGTCCCTGAGTGGCCAGAGAGCCAAGGTCATTGCGACCAGGGCGAGACTGGCAAAGGGGAATTCCAGAGCCCTGGGCCAAACAATTTGTCCTTCAGGTTCCCCTCCTGTAGCTTACATGGCAGGGTCCTTCCTGAACTCAGTGGTCAAGTCCCCTGACTTGATTCTGCTTTGACGACCCCGTCAGACTTGGCACCCCCAGAGAACACAGCTTCTGGTCTGGAGACATGTGACGACCCTCCTCTCCGAGAAGCGCCCACTTCTTGGCCATAGGGGACAGGCCTGCCCTTCACACCAGCAGCTGCTCCTTTATTTGGGGGACATTTGGGCGTGATGAAGGGGGTCTCAGCTGCTCATCCCCTCAACGGGCCTCCTGCGGCTCTCGGGGAGAGAATCCAGGGCGGGTGGTCATACATCAGACACCCACAGGGTCATGATTCTAGGAAGTACTTACTCTAAGGAGGAAGCTGAGTGGCTGCAAAAGGTCCCTGAGTGTGGGTTAGCGGCGCCTGCAGCTGCATGACAAGCTCTGTCTACTGTGTAGAGCTGCTCTTAGGGTTTTCCCGGGGACTCCCAAGGCCAGGGGTTTCACGTGGTCCAGCTGTGATTGGGGAAGGGAAGTGCAGAGAGACTGTGCCCTGGGACCCCCCCCCCAGGGAATGGCAGCCGACTCCCCTTCCCTGTTCTCCTGCCAGGTGGCGTCATCACCTACATCGGCTCCAGCGGTTCCTCCCCGAGCGGCACCAGCCCAGAGTCCTTGTACAGCGACAGTTCCAATGGCAGCTTCCAGTCCCTGACCCCAGGCTGCCCAGCTTACTTCCCACCGTCCCCGACTGGCTCCCTCACCCAGGACCCCGCACGCACTTTCGGGAGCATGCCACCCAGCCTGTCGGAGGAGGGCCCCCCTTCTTCGTCCTCCTCTTTCTACAATGGAAATCCCCCAGGAGGCCTGCAAGTGGCCCTGGAAGACAGCAGTCGAGTGTCCCCCAGCAAGAACACAGGCAACATCACCAGTGAGTCCAGTTCCAGCTGACCTCAGGGACGGGAGGCAGCCAGGCCTGGGCGGGGGGCCGAGAGCCACAGTCAGTCCTGGAATTTTTTTTTTTTTCTTTTTGAGTCAAACCCAGTGATGTTCAGAGGTTACTCCTGGCTCTGCACTCAGGAATTACTCCCGGCAGTGCTTGCTGCTCTGGGGACCATATGGGATTCTGGGGATCGAAGCCGGGTTGGCCACGTGCAAGGGAAACGCCCTACCCACTGTACTATCGCTCCAGCCCAGGACTTTTTTTTATTTTGGGGGTAGGTTAACACCCAGAGTTGCTCAGGTTATTCCTGGCTCTGCACTCAGGAATTCCTCCTGGCGGTGCTCAGGGGACCATATGGGATGCTGGGGATCGAACCCAGGTCAGCTGTGTGCAAAGCAAGCGTCTCCCTTGCTATATATCTCTGCAGTCAGATAAACCTGGACTTCTTGAGTTGCACCAGCCCATCTGGTCATTGGCTTCTGCTCTCTCCCTTGGACCCTGGAGTCCATATCCTTAGTGTTCCCCCACCCCCAGGGTGTCCAGCCCAGAAAACCTCCCCATCTCGGGGGGCCACGCCGACAAACTCTCCTGCTGCCCCTTCCCACAGAGCTGAACGGCATGGTGCTGCTGTGCAAAGTGTGCGGGGACGTGGCCTCCGGCTTCCACTACGGCGTGCACGCCTGTGAGGGCTGCAAGGTGAGGCGGTGGGGAGGACAGAACCCAGAGCCCGGCCCAGTCCCGAAGCTGCGGGGTGCAGGGGGTGGGGGTGGGGAGGTGTTAGCTCTCAGCTCCAGTCCGGGGGAGCCGATTGAGCCCAGAGGTCGCCTCTGCCCTCCAGGGCTTCTTCCGCAGGAGCATCCAGCAGAACATCCAGTACAAGAGGTGTCTGAAGAACGAGAACTGCTCCATCGTCCGCATCAACCGCAACCGCTGCCAGCAGTGCCGCTTCAAGAAGTGTCTGTCCGTGGGCATGTCTCGGGATGGTGAGGCAGGGGGTGCCCGGGTTCCTTCCTCCCCACCCCACCCCCATCTAGTTTGCATAGCTGACACCGGATATCACCCTCCTGGGTAAACACTGGCTTCTTCCCCCTTAGTCCCCCAGGTCACCCCCTGCACTCTCCCTCCTCGGGAAACCCCCTTGGTGGCTGGTTTTAGGCCCCCGTTGGAACCCTGGCCTTCAGGGTCTGGCCCTTTCAGTAAGAAGGAAGGAAGGGGCGTGTGTGCGTGTGTGCGTGTGCGTGTGCGTGTGTGTGTGTGTGTGTGTGTGTGTGTGTGTTGGGCTTCCTGACCTGGCTCTCGTTCTGTCACAGCTGTGCGTTTCGGGCGCATCCCCAAGCGGGAGAAGCAGCGGATGTTGGCGGAGATGCAGAGTGCCATGAACCTGGCCAACAACCAGCGGAGTGGCCAGTGCCCACCGGCCGGCTCACCCACCCCGCCCCCGCCCCCAGGCCCCCTGGGCACCACGCCTCCCCCCCTGGTGGGCTTCTCCCAGTTCCCTCAGCAGCTGACGCCCCCCCGATCCCCAAGTCCGGAGCCCACCGTGGAGGATGTGATCTCTCAGGTGGCCCGGGCCCACCGGGAGATCTTCACCTATGCCCACGACAAGCTGGGTACCTCCCCGGGCACCTTCAATGCCAACCATGCCTCCAACAGTCCTCCGGCCAGCACCCCACATCGATGGGAGAGTCCGGGTGGCCCGCCGGCCACCAATGACAACGCTCTGGCCGCCCAGCGCCACAACGAGGCCCTGAATGGTTTGCGCCCAGCCCCCTCCTCCTACCCTCCCACCTGGCCCCCTGGCCCTGCCCACCACAGCTGCCACCAGCCCAATGGCAATGGGCACCGTCTCTGCCCCACCCACGTGTACTCAGCCCCAGAAACCGAAGCACCGGCCAACAGTCTGCGGCAGGGCCACTCTAAGAACATTCTGCTGGTGAGGGCACTGTGGGTGAGGTGGGCAGGGGGCCGGGAAGACTGGATTTAGCTCGGGGCAGCTGGGTGTGCAGCCCAGGCAGGATGCTCCGCCTCCCCAGCGCCTGGCATGGCTCTGCCTAGAATCCGTGGTTGCCATCTGGCACCCGGATGAGCCATCCCGGGGCCACAGGACCTCTGGCCCCCTTTAGAAAGCAGCGTCCGGAGCCCCTCGGACTCCACCCTTCCACTCCTCCCTCCCTCACATCCCTTCCTCCACCAGGCGTGCCCCATGAACATGTACCCGCACGGGCGCAGCGGGCGGACCGTGCAGGAGATCTGGGAGGATTTCTCCATGAGCTTCACTCCCGCCGTGCGCGAGGTGGTCGAGTTCGCCAAGCACATCCCCGGCTTCCGTGACCTTTCTCAGCACGACCAGGTCACCCTGCTTAAGGCCGGCACCTTTGAAGTGAGTCTCCCCTCTGAGCCCCTGCTCCCTGCCTTGGAGAGGACGTGCTGGGGGAAGGTGTGGCATCCGGGGTGGGCAGCAGCGGGCTCTGGAAGCCCCCCACAGTCTGTCCAGGGGTGGCGGGATGGGACACCTGTCCCAACCACTGGGCTCTAACCATGCACCAGGACCTGAGAATAGCACCTTTGGCGACAGTCCACCCCCCACCCCCCGCCTTCGCTTGTCAATCCAGGCAGGAGCAAATGGGTTTGAGGGGAGGGCCGTGAGCATCATCAGAGCCTGTCAGCTGGATTTCTACATTCAGAAGTGGGTGGCGTGGGGGGGTAGGACACTCCTCTCCCTCCACCTGCCCCTCACCCCACCTCCATCCTGTGCCAGTTGTCTCCGGAAAACACGAGGGGTGACGAGGCCCGTGCCCCTTCCCCCCAAGCCCAGGTAACGGAACCCCCTCTCCCGCCAGGTCCTCATGGTGCGCTTCGCGTCGCTGTTCAACGTGAAGGACCAGACCGTCATGTTTCTGAGCCGCACCACCTACAGCCTGCAGGAGCTTGGTGCCATGGGCATGGGCGACCTGCTCAACGCTATGTTCGACTTCAGCGAGAAGCTCAACTCCCTGGCGCTCACCGAGGAGGAGCTGGGCCTCTTCACGGCCGTGGTGCTGGTCTCGGCAGGTAGGTCCCGCTCCTGCCGGAGCCGGACCCGGGGGAGGAGGCGGACGCAGTTGGATTCAACACACCTTTTATGGAGGACCTACTCTATGCCAGGCCCTGCACTGGGCACTGGGGATACAGACATGATTCAGACAGTCTAGCTGGGGAGACAGACTCATACTCCACTAAATATAAAACAGTGAGATAAGTGTCACAGTAGAAGCATGAACCAAAGGCTTTGGAAGCAGAGACAACTATTTCTGCCTGGGGGAGCTGGGGAAGGAGGAGGTGGCTAGGGAGTGGGGGGAGGAGGGGGGGAGTGGGGTGGGGTGGGGTGGCGGGGGCGGGTAGAGGAAGAGACTGGTCAAAGGGGGTGGGGAAAGGTGACCCAGGCAGCGGGAACTACAGAGCGGAAAGCAAGGGGGCCGTGATGGCCGGTGGCAGGCAGGAAAGTGGCCTTGTGGGATCAGGGAGGTGTTCAGCCCGGCTGAGCCCCGCTCCCAACCTTCAGGCATCTCCTGCTAGGGGTGGGGGTGGTGTGGGGGTGTGGGCAGAGATCTCAGAGAGGAGTGGGGTGGTGCTCCCCCTCCCCGGCCTCCCCCGGGGGCCTTCCCTCCTCGGCTTCAGGGAGAGGCCGCGCAGCCTGCAGCCTCGGCGTCGGTGGCCTCCTCCTCGTAGACCATGAGCGGTTCCTCGTAGACCTGGGGCTGCTCCGCGTAGACCTGGGGCTGCTCCGCGTAGACCCGAGGCGGCTCCGCATGGACCCGGGGCTGCTCCGCAAAGACCTGGGGCGGCTCCGCGTAGACCTGGGGCGGCTCTGCGTAGACCTGGGGGTAGAACTGGAGCGGCTCCTCGCGGACCTGGGGCTCCTGCGCCTCCTCCTCCGCTGCCACCTCCTCCTCCTCTTCCTCCGCCGCCTCCTCCTCCTCCTCCTCCTCCTCCTCGCTGGAGGAGCTGGTGGTGTCTGCCTCATTGCTGTCGTCTTCCCCACAGACCGCTCGGGCACGGAGAACTCCGCATCGGTGGAGCAGCTCCAGGAGACGCTGCTGCGGGCTCTTCGGGCCTTGGTGCTGAAGAACCGGCCCTTGGAGACTTCCCGCTTCACCAAGCTGCTGCTCAAGCTGCCGGACCTGCGGACCCTGAACAACATGCATTCCGAGAAGCTGCTGTCCTTCCGGGTGGACGCCCAGTGACCCGCCCGGCCGGCCTTCCGCCGCTGCCCCCTTGTACAGAATCGAACTCTGCACTTCTCTCTCCTTTGCGAGACGAAAAGGAAAAGCAAACCAGAATCTTATTTATATTGTTATAAAATATTCCAAGATGAGCCTCTGGCCCCCTGAGCCTTCTTGTAAATAACCTGCCTCCCTCCGCCCTCCGCACACCTCCCACCCCCCTATTTAAACCACTATCCCCCCCCATCCCACCCCATTCTCTGGCTCCCTCCCCCCACCCCGAGCTGTTCTATTCCTGTCTCAAATCCAATAGTTCGCAGCTGACTCCTGTACTGTGTGCTCTTTGGGGGGCGGGGGGCGCTGCCGGGGGCCGGGGCGGGTGTGTCTGGTAATGTTGCCAAGGCCGGGGGTGGGGGCACCTCTCCATCTGGTCAGTGTGTGGGACGGGGGCTTGCAGCAGATGGGAGGATACAGGGAAACAGCACACAAGTCTAAGGGGGGTGCCCAAGGGGGTTATTTTCATCATATATTTATTACATAAATATATAGTAAAATAGACGAGCAACAATTACCATAAAAATATCTTTCTTTAAAATCCTGACCCAAAACACAACGGGGTGAAAAATCGCACATAACAGACATACTGATTGTCAACGTGGGGCAGGAGTACAAGCCCCCCCAGTCACCCCGACCAGTCCCACCCCACCCCGGGGAAGGGACCTACTTCCTTCCCTGTTTCTGGCCGCAACCCCCCCTCCCCGCCCCCCAGCACCAGCTTCTCATACATTCAGTAGGGCCTCCAGGGAAGAGTCCCCCTCCCCCACGGGGGGGGCGGGAATGACGGTCCCCCCCATGGCCGTGTCTGTCAGCGCCCTGCCCTCTCCCAGCCCTGCAGGCCCGCCCCCAGGGGAAGGGTTCGGGGCTCCCCCCCGCCTCCCCAGGTCTGAGCAGGGAGGTGGCTGGATGAGGTATGTGTGTTATGAGTGATGGGAGGGGAATACTGAGATGGAGAGGCCGATGGTGGGGGCGGGCTAGTGGTCATGGCTCTGGCACCCCCTTGTCCTGGCCTGGCCCCCTCATCCGATTCCCAGCAGTGTCTCCCCCCACCAATACTGCACCATCTGCCCCACCCTGCCTGCCCTAGTGCCCGGGCCAATACTGGGGGAGGCGTGCTGAGCACCTGCGTCAAGGCCGTCCCCCTCATTAGCACCAATGACCCCCAGGAAGGGGGCCCTGTCCCCCACTTCCACAGCAGGGACTGGGACAGCTGCCTTGAGAGCAGGCGCACGGCACCCCTGAGTGCCCGGCTCCCCCCCGCCACGCGCACTCACGCACACATTCACGCAGAGGAAAGCACCCCCCCCCCACAGCACCGCGAGGGAGGGGGCGGCATGGGGGTCACAGCTCCTAGGATGGGGCGGGGGGCTCCCCAGGGCCTGGGAGAGGCCATGGCTGAGAAAGGTGATGGGGGAGGGAAAGGGGATGGAAGGACGTAGGTGGGGGCAGATGGGTCAGGAACCCACTGGGCCTCTGGGGGTGGCAGAAGGGACAAAAGGGATCACGCCTGGGACCCGAGTAATACAGGAATCAGAACCCCAGGAGAGAGAGGAGAGAGACAGACAAAGACAGCATGGCGGCCCAGGGTCCACGGGGGCGGGGCAGGTGCACGCACAGGTGACAGTGGCTGCTCACGGCCTCCTCCCCACCCTGGACGGAGGGGACGGGCGAAGCCGGAGGCGGCACAGCATGGCCTGCCAGCACACAGGTGTGCGTCTGTGCGTGCATGTGTGTGTGTGTGTGTGTGTGTGCGTGTGTGTGTGTGTGTGTGTGTGTGGAGGGGGCTGTGGCAGGCCTAGGGTCAGGATGGAGTGGCAGGTTCCCCACTGCTTAAGACATTTTTGCCCCAATAGTGCAAAGCGCAGGAAGCCCTGGCACCCCTCCCCCCCAACCCTGCCCCACTGCCCATGGCTTCCAGGGGGCATCTACGTCCACCCTTCCATCCCTGCCGTCACACAGCCCTGAGCCCAGGGCCCTCTGGTCTGCTCTGTCCTGCCCGCCCTTTCCCCTCCCCACCCTCTCCACCCCTCCTCTAGCCCCTGAGGAGGGGGGCCGGGGGCCCTTGGGGGGAGGAGTAAGCGGGGTGAGGGGGGCGGCTCCCCCAGTGCAGACCAACAGAGCGCTCCCCACCAGGGCGGGGGGGAGGGGCTCAAGCCAAAGTCCCTGAATTAGAGAAAAGAGGGTTAGTCCCCAGAGGCGGAGGGGCAGCTGGCCTAAAGAGCTTCCGAGGGAAAGGAGGAGCACCGACCAGCCCCTCTCCCGGGGCCCCAACTAAGTGCCATTTATCTAAGCGCCCCCCAGTCCAGTGGCTGCCTGCCCCACCTGCATTGGGTGGGGGGGTGGAGGGCAAGGAGGGCGGGGTGTGTGGGGGGGAGAGAACCCAGAAGCCAGATGGGAGACAGGGTCTGCGTGGGGCGGGGGATGGGGGTGGGGGGGGCAGCGCGCCCCCTCCCGGTGCAGCATCTGGACCGGAGCTAATACTGCAGGCCATGAGGAGGCAGAGCGGGGGGCCACGGTTTCCCGTGCGGGGGTCCAGGTGGAGAAGTAGGGGGCGGACGGGGAGGCCCCTGGGGCTGGGCACTTGAAAGGGTTGCTGTGTGGGCAGCAGGGCAGGCTGGTGAGGGGCCAGCTGGCGTCCAGCGTGAGAGGTAGATGGAACTCAGCGGGCACGAGTGGCAGAGAGCAGAGGGAGTCCTGGGGCGAGTGTGCCAAAGGGGCACGGAGGGCAGGGGCAAGGCAAGGGGGTGGCCAGGACCCTGTGTGTGAACTCACAGCTCTGATCGGCAGCCCTACCCTCGAGGGAGGCCCTGGTTTGGGGGCAGGGGGACAGTTCTCTCTGACTTGGGGGAGGAGGGGCAGCTCTCAAAGTGCTTGGGGGTGGTTGGGGGGGGTCCTCCCCTCTGGCCAGCCTCAGTTAATAACTTAATATCATCTATCAAGCGCACGCTTTCTCGCTCTCTCTCTCTCTCTCTCGCTCTCTCTCTTTTTTTTTTCTTTTTCTCTCTGTCTAGGTTTTTTTTTGTTTTTTGTTTTTTTTTCCTTCTTCCTCTTCTTCATTTCTCTTCTCCCCGTGCCTGGTTTCCAAAGTGCAGTTAGAATGACTATCGTGTTTAACCTCCAGTGGAGGAGCCAGGCCAAGCCTTCCTTGGCACCCAGGCAGGAGGGAAGCAGAGCAGCCCTCAGCCTGGAGGGGCACCTCGGCCACGGGACGGGGGGCGGTGGGGGAGGGCTCTCTCGGGGACGCAGGGGTGAGTGGAGGGCATCGTCCCCCACGCCACGGTTCCTCGGACCCCCTACGGTCCGGATGGCTCGGGCCCTGTGCGTTCTCCCTCCCCTCCCCTACCTTCTCGGAGGCCGGGACCCTGGACACTGCAGGACACGGCTCCCCCCGCCTCCCACACTGTCCTTTTCATAGGAAGTTCATTGGTTTGCCCTGTCCCGGGGCTGCAGGCTCTGAGAGGGACGGGGGGCAGTGCGGGTGTGTGTGGGAGCTGCATCTATCCGAGGGCGAGAGGAAGGAGAGAAGAGGTGTGGGGTGGGGGGGTCTCCCTCAGCCCCCAGCTCTGCTCCTTCTCTCCAGGCTCCTCCCCACCAGCTCCGCACACCCTCTGGCCGTCTGAGGCTTTAGACTTCCTGATCCTCAAAGACCTCGAGGAAGAGTGGGGGGAAGAGTTCGGTGGGGCACTCGACTTTCATGTGGAGGAAGCGGCTGGCGTGGCAGGCCCCGATCATGCGGAGGTCAGTCACCTTCATCAGCAGCTTGGGCCAGAAGTGCGGAATGTTGTGTTTGCGGTGGTTGACGTAGTGCTCGAACGCCAGCAGGTATGCCTCCTGACTCTTCTCAATCTTGTCCACGCACAGCAGGCCCGAGCGGTCTGCGGGGGTGGGGTGGGGGGGGAACAGGGGAGGCGTGGGTGAGCGGGCAGGCGGGCGGGCGGGCACTGGCAGGCAGAGAAGAGAGGGCAGAGAGCGCAGCAGTGCGCGGGCGTGGGCTGCTGGGGTCGGCGAGGTGGACCCGAGAAGAGGAAGTCTGGGGTGGCAGAGGTAGGCGCCGGGGCAGAGAGGGGGTGAGGGGGGCCGCAGCAGGCGAGAGAGTGGGGGACGAGAGCGGGAACAGGAGGGATGGGGCATCAAATGTGGAGGGGACCAAGTCAGGGGGGCGATGACAAGGGAATGGGGGTGACAGCAGATGGGGCAAGGGTGGGGGGAAATGAGGCGAAGATCAAGACCGGGGGCGGTGGCTTGAGAGACAGGAGGGCGGGCAGGGCACCTGCCACACACGCGGCTGACTCTGGGTTCGATCCCTGGCACTGCACATATATGGGCCCCTGAGCCCCACGAGGAGTGGTCCCTGAGTGCAGAGCCAGAAGTAAGCCCTGAGCACGGCCGAATTCGGCCCCAAATACCCTCCTCCCTAAAAAAGGGGCAAGAGGAATTTAAGATGAGAGGCTTAGAGAGAAGACACCAGGGGTATGACACTTGCCTTCATATGCCCCCGCCCCGAGCTGTACCAAAACCTGAAGTACAGCCAGAAGCAGCCCCTGAGCACTGAGTCAGGAGCAAGCCCTGAGCAGAAAGACCAGAGGGGCTGAGACAGCAAGACCGGGGCCTGGAGACTGGAACACAGGGGCGAAGGGTGGCGGAGGTGTAGGGGACAGGGGAGTAGGGGACAGGAGGACGGGGGGGAGGGGCAGCGGGCAGAAAGAGCCTGTAGGAGAGGGACAGTCCAGAGCCCAGCCCACGCTGGGGCACCGGAAGCTTCTGGGCCCTGCAGCACCCCTCCCCCCTGCCCCCCCAGCCAGGTACCTGTTGACATTAGCAGCACAGCCTGCAGCAGAGCCACTTCCGTGTCATCCAGGTTAAAGGCAGAGAGTGACTTGCCCAGTTCGAAGATGGCGTCGGAGACCACGCCCAGGCCGCCATTCTTGAGCTGCTCCCGCTTGACGGCCATCTCCCCGCTGAGCGTCAGGGTGTCGCTCTCGGGGTCGTAGCGGACGGCCGCCCGCAGCGACATGATCTCCATGCAGCACCCCTTCAGGAGGATGATCTGGTCTTCGCAAGGCAGCTGCGGAGTGCAGGCGCACGGGCTCATCACCCCCACCGTCTCCGAGGGGGTCCCTCTGGGGGTCCTGCCAGCCCCTGCGCTGGCCCACTCGCTCGCAGGCTGCTGACACCCCATACTCAGGCTCAGGAGTTGGGTCCCTCGCGACCACCATGGCCACAGTGCTCCAGTTCTAACTGGCTGCCCTGAGTCTGCATCAGTGTCCCCCAGGGAGGGGGTCCTTTAAGGCATGGCCACCCCGGCAGAGAAAGGGGGGCAGGCAGGGTCCGTGCAGGGCTGGGGAGCTGGGGTGTCACTCAGTCCCGGGCCTGTGTGTGAGCAGAGCTGTGTGCTGGGTAGGCGGACTTCTGAGAATTCCTCTTTGTTCGGAGACCCCCACCCATGTGAGTAGCTGCTGGTATGGGGGGGGGGTGAATGTGGGGAGTATCCCCCTTTTCCCTCCGGTGGGGCACCATGTTGCACCCCCCCAACCCCGCCCCTTGCGCTGCTCACCTCGGAGAACATGGGCAGTTTTTTGGCAAAGTCCACCACGCGGGTGATGGCCGGGGTGATGATCTTGGTGAACTCGCTGAAGGCCTCGAGGTCCACCTTGTCTCCGTCCGGCATGGAGACGATGGGTGACTGGCCAATGTCATCGGGCTGGAGGGAGAGACTGGGGTCAGCTGGGGTCACAGACCCCTTCCAGCTCCTTGCTGAGGCTCCCTGCCCACCAGGGGGAGCTCCAAGGCAGCGCGGGGATGGGGGCCACTCGGCTGGCTGGGTCCCGGCCTAAGGCTTCTCTTTCACCTTGGGGCAGAGAACGGAGTAGGGCCAGAGCAGTCAGCTGGCTAATAATAACAATAATCATAGCCATAGTAGAACTAATGGAATAATAATAGAAGCTGCAGGGCTGGAGAGAGTACAGCAGGTATGGTATGGCTGAACCCAGGTTCAAGCCTAGAACCCTATGTGGTCCCTGGAGCACTTCCAGGAAAGATCCCTGGGCACAGAGCCAGGAGTAATCTCTGAGCCCTGTTGGGTATGGGCCCCAAATCAAAAACAAAAAGGGGTCAGAGAGATAGTACACTGGGTAGTGTGTCTGCCTTGCACGCTGCTGACCTGGGTTTGATACCGGGCATCCCAAGTGGTCTCCCAAGCACCGCAGGGAGTAATTCTTGAATGCAGAGCCAGGAGTAACCCCTGAGTATTGCCAGGTGTGACCCAAAAGAATTAAAAATAAATTAAAAAAAAGTGAGGCGCTGGAGTGATAGCACAGTGGGTAGGGCGTTTGCCTTGCATACGGCCAACCCGGGTTCGATTCCCAGCATCCCATATGGTCCCCCAAGCACAGCCAGGAGTAATTCCTGAGTGCAGAGCCAGGAGTAACCCCTGTGCATCACCGGAGTGACCCAAAAAGCAAAAAAAAAAAAAAAAAAAATTAAAAAGTGAGAACGAGGGCCAGAGCGATAGTACAGTGGGCAGCGTATTTGCCTTGCACATGGCCAGCTTGAGCTCAATCCTTGTCAATCCTTGGCATTCCATATGGTCCCCCAAGTATTGCCAGGGGTAATTCCTGAGTGCAGAGCCAGGAAGTAACCCCTCACCATCGCTGGGTATGACCCCCAAAAAGTGAGGATCAGGTTGAACCTATGATGATTTCTTTCTTTTCTTTTTCTTTTTGGGTCACACTTGGCATGCCCTACCCGGACCCAGATGCCAGCTTCCTGCCTGCCTCGCACACTCAGCTGGACTCTCGTCTCCCTGCAAGCTCGCCGGTCCCTGGGCGGGACACAAGCACCCGGTAAGTGCTCCTGATGCTGTTCAGTGATCGATCGCACGCTTCACCCTTGCTCCCATCCCATCCAGGAAAAAGGTGTGGTCGCCCCTGCCCAGAGAGAATTCAAGGAGGAGGGTGAGCCTGTCATCAGACGGAAGGGGCAGGACCAGACCACAGATAGCAACAGGTGCCTGACCCAGAACTGCCAAGGGGTGGGCTCCAGCCAGCCCCCCCTCCCTGGCCATGCCTGGTGAGAGGCTACCCTCTCTCCTTACCAGGAACTTGCGCCTCTGCTTCCAGTGGCTGCCCTGGGCGTTTGTGCTGCGGTGGGCCTCGGTGGCCACGTGGATCAGGTCCCACTCCTCGGGCGTGGGCTCGGGGCGCTGCTGCAGGGAGCGGAACATCTCCTCCTTGCGGCGCCGCTCCCGGTTCTGCTCGATCAGCCGCCGCTTGGCCACCCGCTTCGAGTCGTCTAGAACCACTGGGCAGAGAGGCGGAAGGCGCTGTGCAGGCGCCCCATGGCTTCTCAGGAACTCCTCCTCCCGGGGATGCGGAGACAGAGACCCTGGGGGCCTGGGGACAGCCCAGAGAACCGCAGGGCGGGGGGGGGGTTGGGTCCCCCCAGCCTGACTCCCCTCTGGGCTGGTTCTCAGCAACAGCATGCTCTGGGCTGAAGAGGGACGGAGTCCTTCTTAGAAGACTCTGAGCAGAGACAGGGGTATATTTTGGGGAGGGGAAGGGGGGCTCCAGGCCTCTATTTCCCCAAGAACCCCTCTCTAAGGGCCCCAGCTCTGGCCTGTCCCTCTGTCTGGGGATGCCCAGGGCCCGGCCCTTACAGTCCATGGCCATGCCCACAGCGATGCACTTCTTGAAGCGGCAGAGCTGGCACTGGTTACGGGTGATCTTGTCGATGACACAGCAACTATCATACTTGCATGAGTAGGTAGGATGGAGGTTCTTCTGGATTGTGCGGCGGAAGAAACCCTGGGGAGTGGGGGACATGAGGCAGCCCCTGACGCCACCGCGTCTGCAGGGCGAGGGAAGCCCAGGGTGAAGGGTCCTGGACAGACAGGTGGACAGACAGGTGTCCTCAGGCCCCCCCAGGCAGCTGAGGGGTAGGGTGGTGGTGAGGGGGGCAGTGGGGGTAAGGATGAAGATGGCATGGGGGAGTGTGGGACTAGGATGTCTGAGGTACAAGGAGGCCTGGAGAGATAGAAGTATCGAGACTACCCCACCCCAAACCACTCCATTAGGCTGCCCGTGGCCTGGGAGGTGGATTTATAAAAGGGAAAGTGGTGTCCCAACACAAAGAAAATGGGCTGGGGCAGGGCTGGAGCAATAGTACAGTAGGTAGGGTGTTTGCCTTGCACGCGGCCGACCCGGGTTGGATTCCCAGCATCCCATATGATCCCCTGAGCACTGCCAGGAGTAATTCCTAAGTGCAGGGCCAGGAGTAACCCCTGTGCATCGCCAGGTATGACCCAAAAAGCAAACAACAACAACAACAACAAAAAGGGTTGTGAAGACAGCTCAAAAGACTGAAGCATTAAAAAAAAAATTAATTGGGTCAGAGCAATAGGACAGTGGGTAGGACATTTGCCTTGCATGCAGCTAACCCAGGTTCAATCCCCAGCATCCCATATGGTCCCCGAGTACCACCAAGAGTAATTCCTGAGTGCAGAACCAGGAGTAACCCCTGAGCATCACAAGTGTGAAAGACAAAAAAAAAAAAAAAAGCTGGAGTTTGTGGCCAGAGTTATAATACAGTGGGTAGGGCACACTTGCCTTGCACATGGTTGGTCCAGTTTCAATCCCTGGCTCCCTAAATGGTTCCCCAGGCACCACGAGGAATGACCCCTGAGTGCAGAAGCCAGGAGTAACTCCTGAGCACCACTGGGGGTGTCCCCCCAATAAAAGGGCAGGCACATGCATTGCACATGGAAGACCGGGGTTCAAACTATGGCAGCCCTGCACGGTCTCTGAGCATTCACTGGGTGTGTCCCCCAACCAACCAAAAGTTAAGAAAAGGCACTGGGAATGAACTCTAGTAGCTTCGAAGGAAAATTTTCCACTGTATGTATAGCACCTTGCCTCTGCTTCAGGGAAAAGTCTCGAGAGTAAAGCTGTGTCTTGGGGCCGGGGATGTGGCCCAGTGGCAGGGCACTAGGGTACCGCGGGTCCCAGCCCAGAATGCCCATCTCCGGAGGCCTTGCTGTGCGCGGGCACTGGGGAGTCTTCTCCCTCAGCACCCTCCCGTCTCACGCGGGGCCCCAGGAGGAGGCAGCCTCCATGTGGCAGACCCCTGGGAATCTGGAGCTCGGGCAGATGGGGCAGACGGCCCCGAGTCATCTGCCTACACAGAGAGCAGAGCCAGAACGTATACAAGGGATGGGGCAGCAGGCTGGAGCTCTCAGAACTGGGGTGCTACCATGCTGGGGGCTACTCAAACAGGTGCCAGGGCCAGAGAGAGAGCAGGGTTTGAGGTGCCGCAGACCAGGCCCTACGCACGGTTCCTCAGTGCTTCTAGGACTACAGAGCCAGGGGGAACCATGGCAAGGCCGGGTGTGGCCCCAGCTCCAGCCACCCCAAACACAGACTCCTGGACCTTACTCTACGTATTTTGTTTTTGGGGGCCACACTTGAGGTTGCTCGGGGTCTACTCCTGGCTCAGTGTTCAGGGATCACTCCTGGAGGGCTTGGGGGACCATATGGGGTGCTGAGGACCAAGCCTAAGTCTGGCTGTGTGCAACTCAATTGTTTTCCCCTACAGTGCTAGCTCTCCAATCCCCTCACTCAGTACATTTTTTTTGCAGTTCCAGACTCGAACCCAGGGCCTCACAGGCATGCAAGGCAAATGCTAGGGACGCAAGGCAAGTGCTCAACTCTGAGCCCCCTGCCAGCCCCAGAACCCCATGATAGACCTAGTCATCAGACTCCATAGGGAAGGGCCTCAGGGAAGTGTCTTTTTTTTTCTTTTTTGGGCCATATCTGGTGATGCACAGGGGCTACTCCTGGCTCTGCACTCAGGAATTACTCCTGGCGGTACTTGGGGGACCATATGGGATGCTGGGAATTGAACCCGGGTCAGCCATGTGCAAGGCAAATGCCCTACCCGCTGTGCTATCTCTCCAGCCCCCAGGTGTCTCTTTTTTATCTTTTTATCTTTTTTTTTTTTTGAGTTTTCGGTCACACCCAGTGATGCACAGAAGTTATTCCTGGCTCTGCACAATCAGGAGTTACTCCTGGTAGTGCTCGGGGGACCATATGGAATGCTGGGTGTGAACTGAATCCGGGTCAGCTGTGTGCAAGGCAAACGCCCTATCCGCTGTGCTATCGCTCCAGAAGGCGTCTCTTTTTGAGGTGCCCATGCTTATATCACTTCCAGGAAGAGTGTTTTGGGTTTTAACTTGCCAACCCTAGTGGCCTTGATTGGGCTGATGGGGGGAGAGGCGCGGGTCCCTGAAGTCTTGTTGGAGTTTTTAATATCAGGGTCACTGTGGCCCACTCGGGAGTGCTCGGGGGAACATGCAGTGCCAGGGATGCGACTCAGGACCCCATAAGGGCCAGGCGGGTGCCCTAGCACCCCAGTTCTCTACCATCCTGAATGTATTTTAATTTAATCATGTATTCATTCACTTATTTACTTCTAGAGGAGGTTTCTGGTTTGGGGTCACGCCCAGTGGTACTCTGGGCTTTCGCCTGGCTCTGTGCCCTAGAATCACCCCTCGCTGTGACTGGGGGACAACATGGGGTACTGGGTTGGCAATGTGCAAGGCAAGCACTTACCCCCTGTACTATTTCTCTGGCCCCTTTATTTATTTTTAGGGCTGGAGCAATAGCACAGCGGGTAGGGCGTTCGCCTTACATGCGGCCAACATGGCCGACCCGAGTTCAATTCCTCCGCCCCTCTCGGAGAGCCCGGCAAGCTACCGAGAGTATTCGATATGCCAGACACAGTAACAACAAAGTCTCCAATGGAGACGTTACTGGGCCCGCTCGAGCAAATCGACGATCAACGGGAGGGCCTTTACCTTACCTTATCAGTGGAGCTAGGAATCGAACCTAGGGCCTCATACATGCAAAGCAAATGCCCTACCAATGAACTACATCTCCATACAACTCCAGCCTGGCATTTTTCTTTTTGGGAGGGGCGCCCAGGGGGAGTGTTGGGTCACAGCCAGTAGTGCTCAGGACTTACTCCTAGCTCTGTGCTTAGGCATCACCTCTCGTGGGGCTTGGGGGTGATCCAACTCAGGCCAGCCACATACAAGGCAAGAGCCCTACCTGCTGCTGTACTATTGCTCCAGCTCTCAGTCTGACATATTTCATAATAATTTCTGTTTCTTGGGAAGTCTGACACTTTCATGCAGTGATAATGCTTTGGAACCCAGGCAGAAAGGAATGACCCGAGTGAAATCTCTGAGCCCTCTGCTAGGAAGACTCGGCCACCAGCCCCTCTGCACCCTACCCTCTCCCCCTCCCCAAACTCATTCTCATCCTTTTCATGGGGCCTTTGGAAGCACCTGGGGGCAGAGGCTCTGCCTCAAGGCTTGGCTGAGTGGGAGTTTAGGGGGCCGGGGACTGTGGCTTTGACTGCTGAGGAGGACATTCACGCACCATGGCCAGGATACCCCATTCGTCTTTTCCCCTGACGGGCAGCCAGCGCCTGGGCGACTCCCCTCCTGTTTAATCCACAAGTGAAAGGCGTGGAAGACGGCAGGCAGCAGCCTTCTCCCGTGCCTGGCACGCTTCGCCCCGCTTTATCATGTGAATGAGCTCAATGAATGTTCCCAGCAGTGCCATGAGTGGCTACTGTGACACTCCTTGTGGAAGAGATGGGGAAACTGAGGTTCAGGAGGGTCGGGCCTGTGGCCTGGGAGTGGCAGGAGTGAGGAGGGAAGGGAGGAAGGGACAGGTGAATGATGAGAGGAGAATGTGACCCATGGGCAGGATGGGGTGGGGCCCCGGGCGCTGGAGGAGTGAGACGGGGTGGGGGGGGTCGGGGGGTGCACAGGGGGCAGGCAGGGGCCGGAAGTGGCTGGTCCATACCTTGCAGCCCTCACAGGTGATGCAGCGGTAGTGATAACCGGTCGCCTTGTCCCCACATACGACACACTGCTCGTCTTTGTCCAGGTAACTAGGGATATACCCTGGGGAGGAAGGGAGCAGGACGCAGGCATGGCTGGGGCCTCCCGCTGGCCTCCTGCTCTAGTCCCACCCCCAGCTTTGCCTTCCTGGTTCCCAGGGTGTGTGTTGGGGGGTGAGGGGAAGAGCCCTGGAGATGGCACAGAGCCCCCCTCGTGCAGCCCCTTCCCGAGGAACACCGAGGACCCCCATTCTTCAGACTTTTCTCGTCCTGCAGCCAGTAGTCAGGGGAGGCGGGAGAAGCAGAAACCAACGCCAGCAGCTCACCTCACAGAACAGCCCTTCGGGGGCTAGAAGAGGGGTCCACATGCCCGCAGGACCCCTCTCACCTGCAGATAAGTTCAGCCCAAGCCGGCCGGGACGTTCTGCCGGGGGCACACGTGCTGGCCCCGGGAGCAGCCTGGCCTGCTGGGGGGGGAGAGGGCCCTTCCAGGCTCACCTGACATGCTGGTTTTCAGGGAACATTGGCCGTTTTTTCTTTTCCGTTTTCCATCTGGTGACCTGGCACTGGAAAGGGGTAGAGCAGGCAGGATCACCACGGTGTGATCCCTGGGCATCCCCCTCCCCCAATGGGTGAACGTCACCCCCGACAGCTGACTCCCTCTGTCCCGTGTCCCCACTCTACCTTCCACTCCAGGTCAGCTGACAAAACCCCAAGGATCCAGCTATCAGGGAACTGGAGGGGACAGAGATAAGGGCTGGGCCGGGGCCCCAGCCTGCACGCATGCACACGCACACGCACACACAGCCCATAGCCTGTCAACACCTCACACGCCCAGATAGCCACCAAGTCACTAAGTCAGGACACACAGGCAGGGTCTTCAGGCTGTGCCGAAAACCAAACCAGACTCAAGGGACACCAGTGACACCAGCAATCGGGAAGAAGCCTGCCCTTTCAGCGCCCACTGTGGCCAGGGCCACGGGCAGACGGAGCCCACTGTGCAGCCTACACAACCGTGCAGAGCGTTCCTGGAGGTGGGATACGACCTCTGGAGACCACGTGGTACCCGAGCCTCGGAACAAGCACCGTAACAACCTACGGGACTCCGCAGCAACTGCGGGCCCTCAGGGAGAAGAGCCAGAGCATACAGTGCCCACGCTCATAAGGAAGGAGGGGACTGCCAACTCCGCTCAGCACGGCAGCCCTGAGGCCCCGCGTGTGCCGTGCAGGCCTCAGCCCCTCCCTGTGGCCCAGCACGCGTGTCTCTCCAGCCTCTCCACATACGTGTTACATAACCTGGGCACACACGGGTTACATAAGCCTCCTACATGCATGCCCGGATTGTAGCAGCCGCCCGCCTGCCGGCCCGTGGCATGTTACGGCCCCTCCTCCTGGCACGGGAGGCAGCTCTCAGCACACTGACACAGTGACCTTGGCCAGGGTCACAGTCACAGACAGCTCTGTGCTCCACGCCCCCTGGGGATTACCCGGATTTCTACAAAAGTTGGAGGGTCAGACCTCCCTCTTACTCCAGGCCAGGAGAGCACCGGGCCTGTTCTGCACAGAGGCAGGCTTAGGCGGCGCGCTCCTAGGCTGCAGTACTAGAAACAGCCACCAGGTGGCGCGAGGGCCTGGGGGAGGGGGGCGCGGGGGGAGGGGCTGCAGATCTGGGGGTGCTCTGGACCCCACATATATACACCACGCCCCATCTTCCAGTTAGAAGCCGACCTTCCCAGCTCCACAAAAGTCTGAGCAGGAAGCTGGAGAGGTGCGCGTGAGAGGTCCACTGTGAAAGGTCAGATGTTTTGCAGTGCCCTTACCCCCTGCGGTAAGGCCTTGGGGAGGGGTTCCCCCAGGTACCCTATCCCACCTGCCGAGCCCCATCACTTTCCTCCACCGCTCAGGGACCCAGTCTCGAACCCCAGGGCTTTGCCTGGCCAGGCCTCAGGCCTCCTGGCTCAGGATCCGGTCTCCTAGGCAACGGCCACACTGCTCCCCAGAGCCCCCCTCCCCCATTCTCCCCGGCCATAGGCACAGGCTGTACCCAGCTCCCAAGGCACCATGCCAACTGGGACAGAGCTCGGAGTGACTTGGAGCCGAGGGGCGAGACAGAGACCCTCTGGGCTTGCCCAGGGCGTCCCGACAGCTCCTAGGTGAGCGGGCGGAGTGCTGCGCCCGGGCTGCCTCTTCCACGTGGGAGCCAGACCTTCCGCATTGGCACTCACCTCCACTTCCTGGGAGGGGACCTGGACAGTGCCCGCCCCTGCCCGTGAACAAGGAAGAGCCTGTGGGGCTCCCCGTAGGTTCCAAACAGCAGCCTGGGCTATGAGTGCGGATCACGGGGTCTGTGCCCCACACACCATGCACATGCAACCCCCCCCCCCACTCCAGCCAGACACCAGCGGGCACACGTGAGCCCCCAACAGCGGGAGGGCTCTTGGAGGCACTGAGGCTCCCCAGCATAGGCAGGCGGGGGCTGAGTGCTCATAATTTCTCAGCCCTTTTCCTGGGAGACCACCTCATGATCCAGGGAACCACCTCACGATCCAGGGGCCTCATTCCCTCAACTCCTGGGCAAAGGTCGGAGCAACTCTGAGGTGCTTATGGACCAGTCAGCGCCCCCCGCCCAGCAGTGCAGCCTCCTTACCTGTTCTCCTCTGGGTCTGACCCACACTCCACCTTGCTTGGCTTCTGTTCCATTCACTTCAATTCCATCCACGATGCCCTCCAGCACGCCAAGAGATGGGTGGGCACACAGGGCCCCCCCGGCACACCCAGACTGCCCAACCCCTACCACCCAGGCCCTAGGGCACAGCACCCATGGCCCCCGCCTCAGCACTGGGCCTGTCACACCGTACCCTGTGCCCCAAGGGGGGGTTGGGCGGTGAGAGGGGCCAGGGAGGGAGTGGTAGGGCTGGGAGGCGGGTTGGGTGAGGGGTGGTCCTGGGCTGGGCAGAAGCTGTAGAGTCTGGTCCTGTCCAGAGGGTCCTGTGGAGAGAGGGGAGAGAGGCGGGGGTCAGAAGGCCTTGTGGGCGGGGTAGGGGTCCGCTGGCAACCTTTGTGGCTCCTGGGTCCATGCCCAGATGGTGGCAGGCATGCAAGTGGGCACGGGGAGGGGAACGGGAGAAGCCCTGAGCCCATGAGGGGAGCGCGGCGGCCACGGCAGACGGTGAAAGGATGGAGGGAAAGAATGAGGTCATCCATGCGGCTCCTCTCAAGCCTCCCTTTCAATCAAGTGCCTGGCCTGGAGCGAAGCTCTGGCACACTGGCCATGTGGCCAAGTTTCCCAAACACCCGTCAGCAACAGGGGGCAAGACTGGTGTCAGCTGAGGCAGAGGGGGGACCCAGGGAGGCAGTGTCCAGCATCTGGGGATCACGCACGCATGCCCTTCTGAGAGCCTGCGGGGTGGGGGGAACACCAAGAGCTGTGGGGGTGCTGGCCGTGTTACCAGCCCCAGCCCAGCCCTGCCAGGACACCGGTGCTTCCCAACCAAGTTCCAGCCCGTATTTCCCAGTCTGAGCACTGGTCTCCCTCCTGGGTTCCACCAAGCTGCTACCGTGCCAAAGGAACAGACTCGGGAAACACCACATATTAACCGCATGGCGACGTGTCCCCCACAGTAAGACCCGAAGTCAAGGAGGAGGAAACGAAGGCTCCGAAAGTTTGGTCAGCTCTGAAAGTTTGGTCAGCGCCTTGAATTCTTTTGCAGTGGCTAGAAAGCAGGTGCCTTGGGCTTGCAACCCCTGCGGGCTGGGCTGGAGAGACAGCTCAAGGCTCTGAGCACACAATGCTGCGCACAGAAGCTCCCGCTTCAACCCCCAGTCCCGTGGGGTCCCCCGAGCACCCACCAGGCGTGACCCCCAGCAGAGCCCCTGAGTGTTGCTGGATATGGCTTCCCCCCAAGGCCAAAGCCATAGTGCGCCAGGCAGGGCGGCACTTACCTTGCACGCGGCCAACCCCCAGGTTCAATCCCCAACATCCCATAGGGTCCCGGAGCACTGCCAGGAGTAATTCCTGAGTGCAGAGCCAGAAGTGACCCGTGAGCATCACCGGTGTGGCCCAACTACCCCAGCCCTCCTACCAAAAACAAAACCAAACCCAACCAAAACCAAAAAACGCTTATAGACAGGTTTGAAAGTTAGTCTGGTTCTACCCTCGAGTCCAGGGCAACCACCGAGCTGAACCCACTTTTCCCTCCGTGCAGCACCTCTGACCTCAGGGGCAGACAGGAGTCTGCTGTGCGTGCACGCTCAGACAGGTACGGGCACGGACAGGGGGCAAAGGGTGCTGCTTCCCACCCCACCTCCACCACCCACCACGTGGCGGCTGTCGGGAGACTGGGCCCAGGGGCCCCCCACCCCACCCCCAGGAACTGATAGGAACTAGGATGGGAAGGGAAAGATAAGTCAGGCCACTTGGGCAGGGCAGGGTGGGGGACAGGCCTCTGCAGCAGGAGAGCCCCTGGGCGGGCGGGCGGTGGGAGCTGCCGGACTAGGGGGGAGGGGGGCCTCTTCTGCCTCTGGTCCCCTCCCCCTATAGCAGGATAGGCCTGAGGGGCTGGACAGGAGGCTGGGGAGAGGGAATGGGGAGTCTTCAGCCCAAGCAGTCGTCGAGAAAGTAGGTCAAGTTTTTCTTGGCTTGTGGAGAAATTCCTGTTATAAATTTATAATGGCGGAGCCTGCACGGAGGGGCAGAGATGGGGGGGGGATGCCCAAGGCCTGGGTGCCGGGGGGGCGCTCTCGGCCAGGGAGGGGCCAGGGCGGCCAAGCAGGACAGTCCTCTGCCCCGTGAGGCTTCCTCCCCGCCGTCTGTCACCGGGTGGCTGGTGCGTGCTGGTTCTGTCTCTCTCTCTCTCTCTCTCTGTCGCCAGGTCTGGATGGTTCCCTGTCCCCCCCAGCGCTGTGAGTCGGGGCTTGGCGCACCCCCGCTGCGGTGCTGCCCCCGCCCGTCTCCTGCCCACCTGGCCGGCTGCCACCACTTGTTTACAGAAGCTGGAAAAATCCACTCGCCAGCCGAGGCCCGCGCGCCCCCGGGGAGGGGAGGAGGCGGGCACGGCAGTGGGCACCCGAGTGCGGGCCAGCCCTAGGGGCAGGCACCGAGGGCCAGGGGGTGTGGGAATGGGTGTCAGCAGCTGGGGGCCAGGCTGGGGAAGCCCCACCAGCAGGGGCCAGCCGTGGTGACTCAGGCAGGGGCCCCCCTCCCCCACGTCCCCCTGCACTGCCAGTTGCTACAGGGCATACCTGGGGCACTGCCAACCTCAGCCACCAAGTTTATTTTCCCTTCCCCCGCCCCAGCCCAACCTTAGCTCCAAATGTGTCTGGGCACTGCCAAGGGCCTGCACGTGCCTGAGGGGGGCGGGGGGGGGTTGGCTCCACCTCTGCGCTCGGCGGGGCGGCCCGGGGCCTGTCTGAGACCTGGCTGGTGGGCAGAGGAGCAAGGAGTGAAGTGCTGACTGTCGAGGGCTTCCAGCATTACTGGGCACCTGCCGAGAGGCTGGAACCCCGGGAGAAGCCCAGTCCTCCCTGCTGGGCCTCTGCCACCGTCCATGGTCACTAGCGGGAGCCCATCAGTGCCAGCCCAGTCCTGGGCAGGGACACCCAGCCTGAAGGCGGTCTCTCCCCAAAGATGGGCGGGGGAACGTGGAAACATGGGGACCAGCCACCGCTCCGCCCCCAGCCCAGGCCCACCTGTTGCCCAGGCGGGCCACCCACCCCTTTGTGGGGTAAGAGCTGCGGGTGGCAATATGGGCATGGTGCCCACGGAGGGGGAAGCATTTCATTAAGCTTACGCGCTCTAGCAAGTGGGGGGGAGGGGATAGAGACGGGGCCTGCTGCGGCATCCACAGGCACCGTGCCAGGTTCCCACGCCAGCCGGCCCACTCCAGTCTGCATAAGCCCAGGGACACCCCGAAGCCCCCACCCTGGGCAGACAGAAGGGACCCGGCTCCAGAATTCTGCACACACTCCCGTTCTAGGTGTCCCCGCATGCTTTGGCCCACCTGTCTGGGGGCTCCCAAACTTGGTCCTTAATGTTCTGAGGACAGCCCACCCAGGCCTTCCCTGCTAGCCAGGGAGGGGAGAACCTGAGGGGGGGGGCGGCTACTGAGGAAGGAGAGCTGGAGGGAAGGAAAGAAGAGCAGGACCAGAACAAAGAGATGGGCAGGGGTGGGTTAGAGAGATGACAATGACATAGAGGGAAGGAAGAAAGGCATGTGGAGGGGGTGGGGCAGGGAAGGGGTGAGGTGGAGAGAAGGGGAGGGGAGACAAAGAGAGAAAGGTAACAAAGGAAGATGGGTGGGGGGTGCCTCATGCCCCGCCTCAGTCCCACCCCATGGAGGCTGGGGGTGGGGGGAGCAGAGCTGGTTTCCACGGTGACAGCTGGTTCTTGGTGGCCTGGCATGTGGGCTATTAATAGTGCTGTGGGTAGGTTCTCACCTCCCTCTCCCCTTCCCCTCTGCCTGCCGCACCTCCCCAATTATCAGGATGTCCAGGGGCCAAGAGAGGGGGTGCAAAGGTCCAGGTGGCCATTGGAACCCAAGCCATATGCAGGCGTGCACACACACACATACACACACATGGTTGTGCACACACACATATAAATGGGTGTGAACACATACGGGCATGCACACAGATATACACACATGTGCACATACATACAGGCGTACAAAGACCCACAGAATACACACATATGGGCACACAGACACAGGCACATGTGCACTTATATATATATGAACATGCATACAAACACGTGAAGTACACATACATACATACATGCATGCATGCAGACATGTGAGCATGTGGACATACACATATACATGGAAACACATGCACATGGTGACACACACACATGTACTCACATTGCTCACACTCACACATACTCATGGGCACACACACACACGGGTCTGCACACACACGCAGACACAGACACACGCTTGCATGGACACACGTGCACACAGATGCATACAGGCTTGCACGCACATTCAGGCATGCACACAGAATGCCCACAGGGGCACACACACAGACAGGCATGCACACACACCAGCACGCCATGAGCCATGAGCGTTGTGTGCGGGCACCTCTGCCTCCTGTGCCAACAGGAGACCCCACGGGCAGTCACCGACACCAACGCGCCCCTCGGGGCTGGGACCTCTCTTTCCTCACACGCTGGGCCTCCTGCAGGCATGGGAGCAGGACGGGCCCCACCCAGCTCTGGCTCGTGATGCCCAGAGCCAGGAAGAAGGGAGTGAAGGCGGGAAGGAAGGTCTGGCAGGTACACTGTGGTAAGGAGTGGCCGGCAGGCACCAGCTTGGCAAGCAGGAAGGAGGGAGGCAGGAGGTGCTCCGGGGAAGGGGCGCTTTCTATGGGTAACCCCCCCCCCCAAGAAGTGTGCACTCATGGCGGGTGTGGGTAGAGAATGGGAGATGGGGGTGGGTGGGAGGAGGACATCAGGGGGAGACGGTCCTTAAACAAAGGAGTCTCTCCCCCCAAAGAATATAACAGGAAACCCCCCTGCAGGTCAGAGGCTGAAAGACATAAACAGCAGCCTTGGCTTGGGCCTCGTGCCCAGTCAGTGTGCACTTCAAAGGCCCTGCCCCCCCACCTCACCCACCTGCTGCTCCCCTCTGCCTCCTCCCACCCGGGCTCCTGGGCAGGCCACAAGGGTGGGTGCCCTGTGCTACCTCCATCCCGCTTCCTCCCCGAAAATGTCTGGGTGCACGGCCTGGCCCCTTCCCTGCTCGAGCCCAGAACTTCGTGCCCCTGGGGAAGGGTGGTGGGGAGAGCCACGCCGCCCGCCGCCAAGAAGGCCGAGTCAGGAGCACCCCTGAGCTGGGCGTGCCACGTGCTCCCCACCCTCCCCCAGCAGCCAGAGGGAAACCGGAGCTGGGCGCTGGGAGCTGGGGCAGCTGAATGCTGGAGGCGCGGATGCCACAGGGCCCCGGGGAGCCGGCTACGGCGGCGGCATCCTGGGCGCAGGGGAGGGGGTCCCC